GTTTTTATGGCTTGAATTGTACTGCTGGGTGCTGCTTGTAGATCTTCTTGCTTGTAACTGAGATAGCGTGTGTAGATTTTTATCTTTTTGGTAGTCAAGATTATAACACTGAAGATGATTTGTTTGGTACGCAGTGTAACTGTAGTATAGAACGGGTACTGGTATGCTGCCTTTGTGTAGTTCTGCTGCGTTCCTTCCACAGGAGGTAAATTCACGGGAGCTCCAGCACCACCTGTGCCACCTCCGAGGAGACGACGATCAGGAGTGCACAGCCTCATTCTTGAAAACACACGCAAGCACGACACTTCCAACACCACACACAACACATTACCTAACAGCCATAATGAATCCAGCAACACTCAGTGCGCCGACGGTGCCTCTGAAAACAGTACCTCAAACAAATTTTGGCAAGGCTTGACAAGTAACTTCGATTTTGGCTTGTATGAAAAGTGGGGCATTGCCCAGATGCCCAGGCCAGCTTCCATTATCATGACAGTTAGACGAGCAAAATTATAATAGTCGGGAAGATTAATTTCCTTCCTAGAATTCCGTTGTCCGTTCATTAAGTCTTTTTTTGTGTCAGTAATATAAAACATTGAGTTTTCCGATGATTTTAGTTTAATTGAACTTTTTTGTTATTGAGTTTTATGTATTAGCTAAGAAAACTGTTCTTATGATGTAGGATTAAAGCTATTTCCCCGAAGCATCCTTTGCGAATCCTTAGTTCAGGCCTTGCCCATCACACTTTTAAACAGACACTCCCTTACAAGGTTTGTTTATTCTTATTTTACAGTTTATTTGATCTTTATCCTCCTTGCTTTCGCTCATAGTTGACATTTTGGTCTTGCTTGGAACTCTGCTCTGGATTACGCTTGGTCTGTCAAACGGTCAATGTTAAATCACCTTTACGGGTCTTGGCTGAACATTCCTCGTTGTAGTTTCTGAAAGACTTTTTTTTCCTTCTTGCTTTTTGTCATGCAGATAACATTTTTCTTGAACAACAACATTGTGAAATACCTTGCAGGATCTTTACAAGTTTTGCACCGTAGAGTGACAAACCATCATTTTTTTTAACTTAAAAAAGAAAACCTCCTTTAAACAAAACAATTTCACACTGTCCCCGTCGAACAACACCGACGTATACTGAGAATGTTCCCTCCTGACGGTGAGCGTGTGTTCTCCCACAGAGGAGGACGGTGGTCAGTTGGCGGCCCCGACCCCACCTCCCAGAAGCCGTCGCCCGGGGTCTAGAGCCTCTACCGTGTCAGAGTCTTCTGCTCTCGGTAGGTCTTCCTCTGGTTCCTGAGGGGAAATTTGCGTTCGTCTGCTCACGGACGGGCTAGGATTTCTGGAAAGCGTGACAGCTTCTAGGACTTTTACTTTTATAGATTCCTCGTGAGCAGATCTAAAGGAGTTGAAACATTTATATATGATTTGCTGTTCCAGTTTTTTTTGTAGGGTTGTTGTATGTAGTAACTGTCATTCTTGTTCTTTACTATACTTGAAGAAATAAAGTAAACGTTTGCTTCCCACAGGGTACTATAAGGTGGAATTTCCGTAATCGGAGTTTTCGATGTCAATACCTAAAATCGGTGTTAGAATAATGATAGTTTAGCAGAAAATTATGTAAATTTGTAGAGCAGAATTATTTATTGGCTGGCCCTCCTTTAATATTTCCCCCCAATTAACTCTAACTCCATTACCTACTTTAAAATGAATGCACTTTAATTCTAAAAATTTACTTTTATTTCATCTTATAAATCACAACACGTCCTGCTCTTCTAAAACAATTTTCAGTGCGAGACTTTTACTCATTCTTACAATTTTGCAACACTGGGACCCGCCCCTCCCCCCCCTCTCCCTGCTTGTCACCCACCCTTTCCCGCCCTCAGGCCTGGAAGAGGGTCAGCTGCCCATTTACATCTTCGGGGCGGAGGACGGGCAAGCTGTGGCTCCCACTCCGCCCCCGAGGAGTCGCCGCCCCGGCTCTAGGGCGTCGTCCACGCTTTCCGAGTCACTGGGTACGTGAGCCCATGCCAGGCTTCTCGCGGGATTTTTTTATCGACGTGTCTGCGTGGTGGATGGATCCGCAGTGACGACTTTGGGATTTTTTTTCCTTGGAAGCGATGGATGTTTTATCTAGTTAGCTGTTTCCTCATTTAAGTATATGCCATGGCCGTGAAGGTCTAATAATTGTTCAACATCTATATTTAATAACTATATTTAAACAATCGTTAAAGATAATGTCTGTATGAATGTTTATTTTCTAATCTCAGTCAAAATTATCTATGCATGGAATATATTTTTTATCCTTATGATAACATTTCTTTACCCTCCTCTTTGAAGCCTGACTGACATCGCACTTCTTACCAATACCTGACTAAATTTCCTTTGATTTATAAATCTTGGAATTTCAAATACATTCTCTTTCTGCCATGTCTTGAACCCTGCACATACCTTCCTCGAGTGTGACCCTGTCCTTCCTCCACCACTAGGGGTG